GATAAATTAGATCAACAAACAAATTGTAATTATGGTTAAAACTAGCAGAAAAACATTGATACATTTTCGACGTAGCTTGTCGTGAAAACACTGTCCACGGCTGGACAAATATGGCTCAATTGTAATGTAATCATTGAGGGATGGAATTTCGGTGAGGACAGAGAGTTGAGAGGGGAAGGGGTGCAGGTTTGTGGCGGTGGGGTAGAGAGTTTTTAGCGATGCGTGTACAGTTGCATGTGTCGGATGCCATTCTCACAAAAGAGTCAATGTTTGTTTATTTATAGGCTAATTCTCTCAACGGCTTGCACGACAATGCAACAATGCCTATAGTGGTATAAATACCGATGGGCCTTGTACAAACCCCACTTCTCCACAGTAAAAAAGGTTTTTAGGCCTTTTTACTTCTACAGTAAAAAAAAACAACCTGGATTTCCGTTTTCTTTTTAAAATTACTTTTATAATACAAATATTAAAATACCAATGTAAAAGTTTTTAAAAATTTACAGAGGGAAAAGGGCCCCTATTTGCCTTTGGCCTAGTGTTTCTTCCAGACTTTTTTCTCCGGGGGGGGGGGGGGCACTTGAAATTTTCGGGGGGGGGGGGGGCGGTAGACTTTTTTCGGGGGGGGGGGCTAAGCCCCCCCGAAGAGATGCCTGGAAGAAACTCTGCTTGGGCCCCTATGCCTTGCTTACGCTAGCTTTACGGTAGCTACGCCACTGATGAAATCGTGTCTTCTCTTTTATAATGAATGGAAAATCAAGTGTAACCCTCACTCAGTGGGGATGCTTTTACCCACTGAGGTGTTGTGGTTAAGACGGGCTGACCCTGAGATTAAGTACACACCGACGCCGACAGTTGTTGTCAAGTACTCGTTTATTTATAGCATCGAGCCATGACGGCGATGCAACACAAAACGAACTAGCCAAGATAGACCAAAAGATCCAAACAATCCAAAAGACCAAAAGATCAAAAGATCAAAAGATCAAAATAGAAACAGAAAACAGAAAACTGTAGCCCTAAAACAAATGTAAAATAAAAAAGTTACATTCAGGACAACACCACGTGTAAGCTACAATATACACGGGTACAATAAATTATGTTTTCGGCCAGTACACAGTACTGCCAACAAGTACCAATAAGTAGTACTACAAAATAAATACTTAATTTAATACATCACCCTAACTAGTGTGCACATGCAGCACTAGCAGGAATACATAAGTAAGTACTTTAACAAACATAATTTAAATATCTACACTACCTTCATTAGGTCTACATCTTGGTCCACAGACAGCAGCCTTGCGTGTGCGACACGACTAGGCACATGTCACATGACATGGAACACAGGTAATGTCGCTCACAAAAGCATAAAAAAACGTCAACAGTTCAGTTGCAGTCCCACAGGGGCCGCAACCCAATGAATAAAAGCTTCATAGTTTTATCCCCCTTTTGGCTGGTAACGATATGTGTTACACATCCCCCCTCACAAATAAATGTACAATGGAATTCACATTTACATTTACATTTACAACTCATACTTAATAGTACTTAAAAAAAAAGTTCAGTACACAAGTACACAGACATTAAGTCCTTTCAACTCAAATAGATTATTCCCGGCAAACCGGTAGAGGCTCCAGTGCTGGTACTGGTCACCACTTGATGCGCCAGGTTGAGTCGCTCGACGGGTCGTCGTTGACGGGTTGACCTCCGCAGCTCCGCTGGTGGTTCTGGGTTGATCCAAGAGTCATCCTCGTCCGATGCCTCGTCCCTCGCATTCACCTCATTCAGATGTGGGGCTGGCCTGACCATCTCCTTTTCTTGTCCGTCCTGGACGACCACCTCGGGCACGAAAGGCGTTGCCTCCGGCCGAAGTCTGGTTGGGACCACTACCTTGATTGTCAGTTCCTCACCTTTATCCGCCTCACTGGTTGGGACGATCTCTCTCCGTCGCTCCCCCTCCGCCACAGTGGGTTCAGCACTCGACATTGTATAGTCGGGTCGCTGCCAACCACGGCGGCGTCCACCACGTCGTCGGCCTCTCCTCCGGCGGCGTCTCCGACCTCTGCTTGTGTCATGTCTGTCTCCCAAGCGACGATCTTGCTCGCGCTGAGACTGACATTCATAGTGTGGCTGTCTACCCTTCTCACGCGCACCCTCCGGCTGCAACCCTCCTCCACGGCGGAACACCCGACAGCCGTACCTCCAGCCGTTAGGCGAGGTAACCTGAGCTGTGGTTGCTCGACACTGTGATGATCTCGGTGGCGTAAACTTGGGCTGGGAGCTTGGCAGAACACGCATCAGCATCCGCTCCCCGACGCTGATGGATTGGCGTTTCCCTGCTGCTGACCCCGCTGCCTAGCTGCTTTTCTCGGACAGTCGCGGACGAAGTGCTTCGTGGACCCGCACCCGTAACAAGCTCCTCTGGAGGGCTGTTGTTTCCGGGCTAGGATATCTGCCACCTTCTCCGCCAGACGGTCGAGTTGTTCCTCCGTGAGCATCAGCGGCGTAGTCTCCTGGCGACCAGCTACCGTTACTGCGTCGACCTTCTGCGCCAGACGGTCGAGTTGCTCCTCCGTGAGCATCAGCGGCGGCGTCGTCTCTTGGTGAACAGCTGCCGTTACTGCGTCGACCTGGATAGTCCTGTTAGCTGCTGCCGTGGCTACGACTGGGGACTCAGCTGTCCCGTCCAGCCTTTTAACAGCTTTCAGGACGTCCTCCACCTTCGGACTGGCTTCCCCTGCGAAACCAAATGTACCGCGAAGTTCGAGCGCCAGAAGAGGTGAAACCCCCTTGCAGAAAGTGTGATACACCTTCTTCTGGGCATCAGCCTCAGTAAAGATACGCTGCTGGTTTAGCTTCGTCATCTCTGACCACAGTCGGCAGAGAAATCCCGACGCTGACTCCCTTGGATGTGGAGTGAGTCGGCTGAACTGCAGATACCTGTCTTCGGCACATCTGGTGTCGCCAAAAGTGCCTTGTAGGAGACATAGCACTTCCTCTGGACTCGCAGCTTGCTTCACCCGCTCATAGGCAATCCCTCTCAGGCTGCCTAAGACGCGTGGCAACGGGTTCGGAACGCTGGTGTTCCGCAGCAAACACTGTACTTGAGTTTCCCATTCCGGGAAATTCACCTCCCCTCCTCCAGTGGGTGGAAGGCCGGTGAACACACTCAGCTTGCTGTTGTGTGCTGGAGCACACACCTCCACCTTCACGGGCCGCTGCGCATCTGCCTGCATCGCCGCCATCTTAGCCGTCAGTTCGGCCAACTCCTGCGACAACTTCTCGAACGTCGGCTTGGTGCTTTCCATCCTACCTCTCAAAGTCAAGCCCCACGTTGGGCGCCAAATGTAACCCTCACTCAGTGGGGATGCTTTTACCCACTGAGGTGTTGTGGTTTAAGACGGGCTGACCCTGAGATTAAGTACACACCGACGCCGACAGTTGTTGTCAAGTACTCGTTTATTTATAGCATCGAGCCATGACGGCGATGCAACACAAAACGAACTAGCCAAGATAGACCAAAAGATCCAAACAATCCAAAAGACCAAAAGATCAAAAGATCAAAATAGAAACAGAAACTGAAACTGTAGCCCTAAAACAAATGTAAAATAAAAAAGTTACATTCAGGACAACACCACGTGTAAGCTACAATATACACGGGTACAATAAATTATGTTTTCGGCCAGTACACAGTACTGCCAACAAGTACCAATAAGTAGTACTACAAAATAAATACTTAATTTAATACATCACCCTAACTAGTGTGCACATGCAGCACTAGCAGGAATACATAAGTAAGTACTTTAACAAACATAATTTAAATATCTACACTACCTTCATTAGGTCTACATCTTGGTCCACAGACAGCAGCCTTGCGTGTGCGACACGACTAGGCACATGTCACATGACATGGAACACAGGTAATTTCGCTCACAAAAGCATAAAAAAACGTCAACAGTTCAGTTGCAGTCCCACAGGGGCCGCAACCCAATGAATAAAAACTTCATAGTTTTATCCCCCTTTTGGCTGGTAACCATATGTGTTACACAAGCATAAGTTGTCTTTAACAGCGATATTATTAAAGGGATAAAATCAAGTTAAGATGGTTACTATGAAATTTAAATTGAGTAGTTTCCCTTGGGTAAAGTTAACAATTTCCCTGATCCGATTTTTTTTTCAAGTGCACATTAACTCTTGCCTATCAAAACTACGAGTTAAAAAAATTAGAAATGAAAACCGATCGCCACAAAAAAAAAAGGCTTAAGGTAATTAGTGATGTTAATAGCTTATCAGAACCAAGCGAAGTTAGAAATAACAAAATAAACCGATTTGGAAAATATATTTAAGTAATGGTGTAACTGCAACTACTCACAAAAAAGTGACAAAAGTATAGATCTAGATCTAGATCTACTATTCATTTTTGTATGTTTCTATGGCTCACAGTCAGTGTTTCTTCCAGACTTTTTTCTCCGGGGGGGCACTTGAAATCTTCGGGGGGGCGGTAAACTTTCTTCGGGGGGGGGGGTGGGACGGACACTTTTAAAAGTATATATTTTCTATATAAATTATATAAATTTCATTTCGTTCGGGGGGGCGGTAAAAAATTTTCGGGGGGGGGGGCCCCCCCGAAGAGATGCCTGGAAGAAACTCTGCTCACAGTTTTATTAGACATTTTTTTTTTAATTTGTATACGCTTGCGGCGTCAAATACAGGAACGCACAATGTCAATGAGCAATCTACACCAGTGCTCAGTGCCTGGTATTAAATCATACAAAAAATATAGAGACTAAAGTATAAGTAGCTAAATAATAAAATAACTAAGAATAATTTTTAAAATTGTAATCATCATCAGTGAAAAATCAATATACGAATTAGCAGCTCAAAAATTGTTTTGTATAAAACAGAAATAGATCTGGATCGCATATATTTAAAAATTATTCCTTGAAAAAAATGAATCGTACCTTTTAAAGTTTTCATGGTAACCTTTAGTTCCGGGTCATTTCAAAGGTTAGACTTATCTTTGACAACACGAAAAATGCCGGCTGCTCAACCTCGGCCTAGAGTTTACGATCAGCCTCAGGGTGTTAATGCCATATTATTGGGACCACCTGGTTCTGGAAAAGGCACTCAGGTTCTTATTCACGTCAATGTTTACAATAATTTATTTAAACATTGTTACTTAACAACTGTGAAAATACGAAATTTACCACGACCTTGTGATTGTCGAAAAACTGAAACTTCAGTAACAGTTCATACAAACTTTGTGGTCATTGAAATTCTCACTAGGCCCTAAATTTTTTTTTTTTCATTTAAACAATAACAATGAAAAGTAGAGATCTAGATCTCAAATCAACCATACACTAAATGGACACCAGCGAGTTGACAAGAATCCTTCCGTAATGTTGTTGACATGGAATAAAAATGTGCTTTTTTAGATTTTAGGGACGTAAAATTAGGCCTAGGCCTAATAAAAAATAAAAACTTAAGCCTAAAATTAATTCAAAAGTTTAATATTTTTAGAATCAATGCTATAGAAGTTGCTGACCCACAGAACTTGAAAAAAATTAGTTGAGTTTAAGGCTACATTTCTATTTATTTTTGTCAAGCCTAAGTTATAACCTGATGTTTCTAGGCCGTTCGATTCACAGCTTCCGGGTTTGTTGTTTTGAAGCCATCTCACAGCTCATGCGCTTACCAAAAATGGCGACCAGTTTCGCTTTCACTAATGTAGGTTGAATTATGGATTTTTTTAAATAAAATATTCTGTTATTTCAAATAAAACAATTAACTTCCTTAGCCTACCCCTTAAGAGAACATTTGACACCACATTTAAATAAATAGCTTACTCGGTTGACAAGAAAAGAGAGAATTTGACAATTATCATAGAATGGAAAATGACAGTTAAAATCGCGTTCTTGCACCTCGACCGACATAACATGACGTCGTGGACTTGTGTGCCCGAGCTTTTAATTCCCGCCATGGTAATTGCGTCAGCTTAGGTTATTTACTCACCGGAAAATAACAAAACGCAACTCATTGATAATAAAACTAGATCTAGTTATTTTATTATTTATCAACAGCGTGGCAGCTGAGGTTCATACATGGTATTAGTGTCTTTTTTTTTACATTACATTTTTTTTCATCTTTTGTAGGCCTATAGAGTATAGAGAAAGTCTTGTAATCGTGCAAAAAAAAAAAATCGAGATTTTTACAAATCTCGATGTTTTACACCTCACTGATACGGAAAAACATAATTTTGCAATCTTGTCTGTGTGTCTGTCTGTGTGTAAACACGATAACTTGAGTACCGTTACAGCTAGGTTGATGAAATTTCATATATAAGTATTTTATCAAAATCGTAGATCCTGATCAACTTTTGAGCGATTTCCAATAACCGGAAGTGGTACTTTTTCTACTTTGAATTTTTCAAAAGCCTATAAGTTGGGTACTATTTTAGATAGATGCATGAAATTTCACACGTAAGTAAAAGATCTAATTCTCTACCTTCTGTCAAATTTTGAGTAATTTCCGTTGACCAGAAGTACTAATTTCCTATTTAAAAAAAAACGCATGTAAATTTATAAAGGACTAATAATGTTTCGCACTATTATGCACATTTTGTTTTGGCGTTCGCTTGGTGCACAATTCTTTTTTCTATGAGATTCTAATTTTAAAAGTTAATAATTAAAAATCATGTCTATATTCCAAGTTATATAAGAATATTCGAGAGAGTTTTGGGGAGATCACTCCCGGTTTATTTTAATTTTTATTTAGTTACTGAAAATATTAAAAACATCAAATACATCGAATTTTTAGTAAAGTTCAAAAAACAGACAGACAGGATATTATAACCATATTAATTGTAACTACGCTGTGCATGATTTTTAAATTAATTTATGGGCCTCTCAAATACCTTCGAGACTTTTCTCTCAGGTGTCCATTAGATGGTTCTAGCTTATTTGGGTCTAAAATAAATACTTTTTTTTATTGGTGCCTCACAGCCTGGCCCAGATGTGTTTTTCAGATAATCTATCAAGTAAAATAGCTAATACCATTAATAGAGCTGGGAGAAGGTGGTCGTCAGTGGGGATCCAGAATGCTGACGACTGAGGGAACATGTTTGGCTGTGGTTTAAATTACGTTACGGGTCTGGTGGAGAAGGGAAATCTGGGCGGACGTCCGTGACAGCATTGGCTCTTTATTAGCGATGCTCACTAACTTTAAATTACGTTTATTTTAAGATTTAAACGCTACCAATGAAAACTAGAGATCAATCTTAAATCTATCAAATACTTAATTTGTCGATAATAAACTCATTTGGAGCTCAGTTACTGATTTTGATTAATTGGCAATTCCCAGCATTGCAAGACGAATATGTCAGTGACAACCATTTGCCTATCTGAAGATAAGAACTCTGCAGGGTGGACCTAGCAGCTGATTTGATTTTAGCAGAATATGCACAGTACATTTGATTTTATTACATTTCTATTCATATGGACACTGTCTTCATCAAAATAAAAATCGCAAGATGGAATTAATATTTACAGATTTTTTTTAATGGAAAATTTTAATTATTATTTAATTCAAACAATACCAATGAAAACTAGAGATCTATCTCTGACCAACCAGGCATTACATTTGATTCAAGCTCATTTGGGGCTAAAATACAGGATTTTAATTATTGGACTTCACAGCTTAGCTGAGACAGCTTTTTCCGTGACAACCATTGTTAGTTCTGGTCCACAAAGTCGATGCTCAGTTTTTAAAATATTGTTAAGATTTGTAAGTGTTTGATTTATTTTTTTAATCTGCAATAGCATTAAAATTGTTCAAGTTAGCAAGAAATGCATTCTCAACAGCGTCATGGTCAGTGCACGTGACAGATATCTCGCTCGTGTAGTTTCGTCGACCAGAAAAGTTAGCCTATCAAATGCAATTTATCAGGCCTGTAAAATAAAAAGTGGCCAATTGCATTAAAATGATAGCCTGTGAGCGAAGATATAGGCAAATTGCAAACATCGCCAGCTCGCCTGCGTTCTTTTGTCAACTGGTGAGAGAAAACTCACAGCACAGCGTGAGCATGTGCTAAAATAATAAATCTAGTCCTTTGTTAGCCCAAGTTATACTATGTATTATAGGCCTAGACTAATATAAAATCAAATTAAATGTATTTAATTAAGATCTCTGTCTATTTCATTTTTCAAATGTCAGCGTATTAAAATTGATCACCCGATAGCGAGAATTTTGCATTCCAAACATCGACACAGGCCAAGTGTGACACACGACTCGCTTGCGCTGGTTTGTCAGCTAGAGAAGCATCGCCCACCACAACGCGGGCACAGCACTCACATGTCCTAGTCCATACGTACTAGGTTCACTAAGTGCTAATTAGTAATGTAAAACTAGACTCAACGTTAAAATCATTTAATTTATCAGGCCTCTAAAATCTTCATAATATAAACATTATTAAGCCTAATCTACGAGGACCAGTGAAAATATTATAATTAGCCTAATTAAAATTTATGAAATCAATAAGAATTAAGACAAATTAATTAAGCTATAAATAATTTGTTAACTATAAATATTTTTTAAGTTAAGCCTTCCATTTTCAAAAGCAAATCTAACATTATTTTTTCTGGCACTCACAAATTTATTTTCTTTGTATAACTGGTAAACATCTTCATAATTCCAAGAAAGCCAATTGAACTTATAAGAAAAATTTCCAAAAAGCATCTGGTTAGGATGCCAAATTGTTATTAGCAAATTGCCACTCCTAATACAATGTTCAACTGACTGCTAGTCAGTATGTTTATTTCATCTTGTTTTGTTATTTGTCACTCGGCTTCTAGATCCATAAAAGACTAGTTAGATCTGGTATTTCTGCTAGTATTGAATTGTGCATTGTGAGATCTAAATTTCTAGTCTAGACCATTCTAATCAACACTACTTGAATATCCAGCTTCTCTAATTCATGATCTAGAATCAATCAGCTTTCCAATAAAACAATTCATTTATTGTGAAGTCTATGCAGGGTTTTGTTTGTGTTTTTTTGATACCACATTACAAATTTTCAGAAGAATCTGTCTGTTATGAAGTACATTTAAAAATCTATTTTTAGCTTTTTTATTTATGGTTAAAAAAATGTTCTGAGTCGGTAAGGGTAATCAGTAAAAATCAAATGTGAGACTTGCAATTTTGTGATATGGTTGCAGAACCACCCGTACATTTTTAAATAATGTGTGCAAGATGTGGAATTATTTCTTTCGAGTTTGTTGTTGATTATGTTCACTTGTGCATAACAAATCAAATGAATTGTTTATTTTTTTTATTTTTAAGAATTTAAAGACAAAACATTTTAAGTTAATTTTTAATTTTCAGCTAACCAATATTTTAAACCTAATTTTAATTGAATTGTTATGTTTAGTCTGGCTTACCACATTTGATTATTTGATTACCTTACAAATTGCACAAGTGTTATGTTTTGGGTGAAAATTTCAGTCACATACTGCTGTACTTACTAATAGAGACATGCAGGTTTTATTACATACCATCTAAAATGTAAGAAAAAATTATGTTAAAATCAATAAATATAAAAATAGTATGTAAAATTTACAATCACATGTTAACGTGGAGACTGGTTAAATTAACTTCAGACTATTAAGTATTTTAAAGTACTATTTGTATATCTAATGAATAATGTATAGTGATGTTAAAATTAATTCTTGATTCTTATTTTCATTGTAGGCACCCAAATTAGCAAAGGATTACAAAGTATGTCACTTGTCTACAGGTTTGTGTTCTTGGCTTATTTTTCTTTTGTCTTGGTCAGTCATCCAGATATTTTAACTCTTGATATTTTAATGACAATGTAAAAGTTCATAGCTATGTATTTTGTGAATTAACTTCTCTTTTATACAACTCACTGTAAGTTGGATTAGTGCATGCTTATATCTGGATTGGTTTATCTGTGCTGTATTGGAATCTCAAGGTCTATTTGAAGTAGTTTTAAAGTGTGTTTGAATCCATTAAAGTGGTTCTAGTAATGACATGCCTGGTTAGTAGTTATTGCATTACCAGTTTGTTATTATGGTGATTTATCTGATTCATTAATGTTTGATATTTAAAAACCTCATTTACATAGTGTTATCTGATTCACTGGTTGTAGTGTTGATATATCTGATTCACTGATTATAGTGTTGTTTCTGATTCATCAATGGTTATAGTGTTGATATATCTGATTCAATGGTTATAGTGTTGATACATTTGATTCAGTTATGTTATAGTGTTGATATATCTGATTCAATGGTAATAGTGTTAATATATCTGATTTAATGGTTATAGTGTTGATACATTTGATTTAGTTGTTGTAGTGTTGATATATCTGATTCAATGGTTATAGTGTTGATACATTTGATTTAGTTGTTGTAGTGTTGATATATCTAATTCACTAGTTATAGTGTTATCTGATTCACTGGTTATAGTGTTGATACATTTGATTTAGTTGTTGTAGTGTTGATATATCTAATTCACTAGTTATAGTGTTATCTGATTTACTGGTTATAGTGTTGATACATTTGATTTAGTTGTTGTAGTGTTGATATATCTAATTCACTAGTTATAGTGTTATCTGATTCACTGGTTATAGTGTTGATACATTTGATTTAGTTGTTGTAGTGTTGATATATCTAATTCACTAGTTATAGTGTTATCTGATTCACTGGTTATAGTGTTGATACATGATAATCTGATTCAGTTGTTGCTGTGTTAATACTTAATATATCTGATTCACTGGTTATTGCATTATTTGATTCAGAGGTTAAAGTTTTGATGTCTCTGTAATGATTGATTCTAATGTTGACATACCTGTAATGATTGATTCTAATGTTGACATATCTGTAATGATTGATTCTAATGTTGACATACCTGTCATGATTGATTATAATGTTGACATACCTGTAATGATTGATTCTAATGTTGACATACCTGTAATGATTGATTCTAATGTTGACATACCTGTAATGATTGATTCTAATGTTTACATATCTGTAATGATTGATTCTAATGTTGACATACCTGTAATGATTGATTCTAATGTTGACATACCTGTAATGATTGATTCTAATGTTGACATACCTGTAATGATTGATTCTAATGTTGACACACCTGTCATGATTGACTCTAATATTGACACACCTGTAATGATTGATTCTAATGTTGACACACCTGTCATGATTGACTCTAATATTGACACACCTGTATTACAGGTGACATGCTGCGTGCTGTGATCAGTGCCGGAACTGAGTTGGGCAAGCGGATCAAAGGTGTGATAGACGCTGGGCAGCTGGTCAATGATGAGCTGGTGCTAGAACTGGTCAATGACAGCCTGGACAAGCCGGAGTGTGCTAATGGCTTCCTGCTGGATGGGTTTCCTAGGACGATAGGACAAGCGGAGAAGGTGAGTTGACTGGTAGGACAAGTGGAGGTGAGTTGACCAGTATGACAAGTAGAGATGGTGAGTTGACTAGTATGACAAGTAGAGATAGTGAGTTGACCAGTAGGACAAGCAGAGAAGGTGAGTTGACCGGTAGGACAAGTAGAGAAGGTGAGTTGACCGGTAGGACAAGTAGAGAAGGTGAGTTGACCAGTAGGACAAGTAGAGATGGTAAGTGGACCAGTAGGACAAGCAGAGAAGTTGAGTTGACCAGTAGGACAAGTAGAGATGGTGAGTTGACCAGTAGGACAAGTAGAGATGTGAGTTGGCCAGTAGGACAAGTAGAGAATGTGAGTTGACCAGTAGGACAAGCAGAGAAGGTGAGTTGACCAGTAGGACAAGCAGAGAAGGTGAGTTGACCAGTAGGACAAGTAGAGAATGTGAGTTGACCAGTAGGACAAGTAGAGATGGTAAGTGGACCAGTAGGACAAGTAGAGATGGTGAGTTGACCAGTAGGACAAGTAGAGATGGTAAGTGGACCAGTAGGACAAGCAGAGAAGTTGAGTTGACCAGTAGGACAAGTAGAGAAGGTGAGTTGACTAGTATGACAAGTAGAGATAGTGAGTTGACCAGTAGGACAAGGTGAGTTGACCAGTAGGACAAGTAGAGAAGGTGAGTTGACCGGTAGGACAAGTAGAGAAGGTGAGTTGACCGGTAGGACAAGTAGAGAAGGTGAGTTGACCAGTAGGACAAGTAGAGATGGTAAGTGGACCAGTAGGACAAGCAGAGAAGGTGAGTTGACCAGTAGGACAAGCAGAGAAGTTGAGTTGACCAGTAGGACAAGTAGAGAATGTGAGTTGACCAGTAGGACAAGTAGAGATGGTAAGTGGACCAGTAGGACAAGCAGAGAAGGTGAGTTGACCAGTAGGACAAGTAGAGAAGGTGAGTTGACCAGTAGGACAAGTAGAGGTGAGTGGACCAGTAGGACAAGTAGAGAAGGTGAGTTGACCGGTAGGACAAGTAGAGAATGTGAGTTGACCAGTAGGACAAGCAGAGAAGGTGAGTTGACCAGTAGGACAAGCAGAGAAGGTGAGTTGACCAGTAGGACAAGTAGAGAATGTGAGTTGACCAGTAGGACAAGTAGAGATGGTGAGTTGACCAGTAGGACAAGTAGAGAAGTTGAGTTGACCAGTAGGACAAGTAGAGAATGTGAGTTGACCAGTAGGACAAGCAGAGAAGGTGAGTTGACCAGTAGGACAAGCAGAGAAGGTGAGTTGACCAGTAGGACAAGTAGAGAATGTGAGTTGACCAGTAGGACAAGTAGAGAATGTGAGTTGACCAGTAGGACAAGTAGAGAATGTGAGTTGACCAGTAGGACAAGTAGAGAATGTGAGTTGACCAGTAGGACAAGTAGAGAATGTGAGTTGACCAGTAGGACAAGTAGAGATGGTAAGTGGACCAGTAGGACAAGCAGAGAAGGTGAGTTGACCAGTAGGACAAGTAGAGAAGGTGAGTTGACCAGTAGGACAAGTGGAGGTGAGTTGACCAGTAGGACAAGTAGAGGTGAGTTGACCAGTAGGACAAGTGGAGATGGTTTGTTGACCGGTAGGACAAGTAGAGATAGTGAGTTGACCAGTAGGACAAGCTGAGTTGACCTTTAGGACAAGTGGAGGTGAGTTGACCAGTAGGACAAGGTGAGTTGACCAGTAGGACAAGGTGAGTTGACCAGTAGGACAAGCTGAGTTGACCTTTAGGACAAGTGGAGGTGAGTTGACCAGTAGGACAAGGTGAGTTGACCAGTAGGACAAGGTGAGTTGACCAGTAGGACAAGGTGAGTTGACCAGTAGGACAAGTGGAGGTGAGTTGACCAGTAGGACAAGTGGAGGTGAGTTGACCAGTAGGACAAGTAGAGAAGGTGAGTTGACCAGTAGCACATCAGTTCAAATTTAGGTTTGTGGTGTTTCATAAAATTGTAAAAACAGGAATTAATGGATAAGCTACAGAAATGTCTTAACTGTTAGGTCTAAGTCACTGCTTTTTACTATCACACAGATTACTGTAATTCTCGTATTTTTAAAAAAAAGGGTTTATTTAAAAAAAAAGGTGATTAAAGTTTTTTTTCTTCAATATACTTAAAGTTACATGGTTTGCAAAATATAATTGTATTCTTGTTAACTCTGTTAAAGGTCAGGCATTTGTATTAATTTTAACATTAGTTATATCAGGTTTCTAACCAGTTAATTTCTATTCTACCAGCTGGATGACTTGTTAGAGAAAAGACATTCTGAGCTGAATGCTGTTGTTGAGTTCGCCATAGACGATTCATTGTTGGTGCGCCGAATTACCGGACGGCTGTTTCATATAAAAAGTGGGAGGAGCTACCATGAAGAGTTCAACCCACCCAAGAAACCCATGACAGATGATGTAGGTTTATGTTTACACTTTGTGTAGTTTTAGTCAGAGGCTCTGTTGAGGGTGGGTGTGGCAGAGATTAGTGTGTTGTCTACTCATGCTAACAGCAGTGATGATGGAAGTAGATGAACTTTTAACTGTGTTGTAACAAACATTGTAACAGTTTGGCCATTTCTGTTAAAATGTAAAATAGTCAGCAAATTTAACCATGTATAATTATTCTAAAGGCCCCCCCCTCTCCCCAATTTTATTACTGAAATATTTATAATCTCCACATAATAGTTTATCAAATCTGCCAAAAAAACTGTGTTTAATACACTCCCTTAAAAGGTTATTCTGCCGAATGCTCAAGGTCACAAGTTTGTCCCAAAAAAACTAAAACTGAAGTAGAGTTCATTTGTTTCATTGATCTCTGCATATGACAAATACTGTAATTCAGCATTACACATATTGCCTTTGCCCTCCCTGAATGAAGTCAGTTCCTACGCAAGCTGGTTGGACTCTGTGATTTCCTCTAGTATATGTGGTATTACATTCCCACTTTTTACTTTGTGTTGAATGTATTCCCCACTAAGTGTTAAGTGTCACATATCTATTTCTTCTCCTTTATTGTTAATTGTAAAATATTGGAGAATTCCTTGAACTCAGTAAAATATTACGTGTCAACATGCTATTTGCCATATGGCACAATGACTCTGACTTCATACTGTTCTTCTTTCTGGATTGGCTTCCATAGCCTTTTTCCACCCAAGAATTAACTACGAGGCTCTAGTTGTTTAGCTTAGGAGTTTTCTCTTCTAGATGGGTTACTGTCCATATTTTACACACCACATCTGCCATTGGGTCCGAACTCTAGATTTAAGGAGTTAACAATTTATGCTCTCTCACACAACCACTTTGTGTCCATATTTATGATTTAATTATGGCAATAAACTTTAAACCTAAACATGTGAACTCTATTTCATTTACCCCATGGATTGTCAAATTATAAAAGGGAAATTTTTGTTTACTTAATGAACATGAAAGTTGTACAAGTGAGTTTCTGTTTACCTTTCTGTTTACCTTCCTCCATGTGTACAGATTACCGGGGAACCACTAGTACGCAGGTCAGACGACAACCCTGAAGCCTTACAGAAACGTCTGGATGCCTACCACCTGCAGACCAAACCCCTTGTGGATTACTACGGCAAGCGGGGTATCCACGCCGCAGTGGATGCGTCCAAACAGCCAGCCTGCGTGTACGCGCAGATCCAGGCCATCTTCAGTGCGGCTACTTGCAAGGATAGGGTGATGTACATGAAAAACTAGTGAGACACCTATTGGAAGTTGCTGTTGTTTTAAGCTTACATCTGCCTGTATTGACATAGTATATTTTAATGTGTGGACACCGGAATATTTTGGTTAGATGTGTTGTTGTGTATAAGAGTTATACATTCCTGTTTGTTGTTGCAGAATTTTTAAACCTTGGTAGATTATTTTTTTTTTGGGTAGAAGTATACTGTTTGGTTTAAGTACCAACAGTATTTCAAGGGACAAATTTCCAATACTCACAAGATTTGGAAAATAACTTCTAATTTTCCTTCTAGAAAAAAAATAGACCAGTATTGTAGGGAGGTAACCTGGGTTTTAAATTTGTCTAATTTCGGAAATGTTCACCTTGTTTGTTTACATGAATAACTTAATGCTTTATTCTTGCCTAGCCTGTACTTAGACTAGGGCAAGTCCAGTACAATTTTTATTTTATTTCTTTGATTGGTCAGATCCATATTTTTTATGCAGATGTTTCAAATTAGAAGTATAAAGATTAAATGTTGAAGCTATAGTTTCAGTTTTTAAACTGATCTGGTTGTTTTACTGAAGTATTCTCAGCCATTTAGTTTTTTAATTATTATTTGTTTGGGTCAACACATTAATTTGTGATACCAGTTGAGATTGAGGCAAGAGTTTTATTATCGGCTGTTTGAAATGTATGAAAAATTATTTCATGGAAGTTGTGACTACATAATTCTTAATAAAAATAAATTTGTAATCAGTTTCTTGTTTGGTACTTTGTCAACAAAATTTAAATTTTCAGTTCTGGGATAATTTTAAATAGTCCAGGAGTGTAGTGTATTACAATTGCATATCACTGTTACAAGATGATTTACAATTCATAATACACTCAGATGATTGAAAATGACATCTTGGGATCATTCTTTAGACTTTACAGGAGAATCCCGGAAACTGCTCAATTGTACTGCTAGAATATTGTTTCTTGCAAATGGTACTAATAAGACCTCAATTAACTTATTAAGCTCATTATATAAATGGTCATGATACAAACTGTTTAGGTATTTTTAATGGAGCAAATCTAAAGTGAATAAGTTTAACACTCACTCCTAATGCATTGGGGCCTAAAATTTATAATACTCAGATTTTCTGTAAGCTAAAAAGTTTTGTTCATAGGCTTTATTCTGTGAGTAAAATCCTATTTAGGCACCTTGCTTACGCAGATTCATATTGAATGGAATATCAGTATTGAAAGGTTATATTTTATAACAATTGTATTTCTTGATTTACATTTGCTAGTGTGCTCTAGCCAGCACTACAATGAATAATAATTGCTTGCTTCTCTCAATCTGCAACTATGTTGAAATTTACAAGTCATTCACCGAGGCAAAAAAAAAAACTGGCTTTATATCTAGCCATAATAATTAAATTTCACCAATTACTTAATGAATTGTTAAAAAAAAAACTTTGAAGCCTTTTGTAATAATATTGAGATATATAATCAGTTTTTTTTTTTGCCATGATAGATTTAAATCAACTGAGTATAAATTTCGAAAAAAAAAACAACCGAAAAATGGAATTTAAGAAAACCTGGTTCAAGGGAAGTAAATTATAGATTTGTTTAGAAATGACTCGTAAAATGGGTTATAATAAACTAAATTTAGCCATATTGGACACTATGTTTACAGCTTTCAATTATGTACCCACTGAATTGGCGTTCGTCACTATCAGGTTTCTGGTTACCTATGATTACTGTGTCATGGCCATGTTGAAGATAGGGTGACCCGCACACAGATTAACCCATCCTTGACCCTTGGATCTGGAGATAAGGGTCACGTTTATTTATGTCCAGTTTTCGCTAAATTATGTTACGGTTCATGTATGACAACAAGCTTGCCAGGTCAGCGCAGTTAATCGTCACTAAGTAACAAACTGCAATTGTGGCCCGGTGGGGGGGGGGGGGGGGAATTCAGAGGGACAGAATTATTCCGAAGTGTGTTCTTGGTCTTCATTTATACATTCCAACTGGTCGTTCTTGCAATTTGTAAAGATACGTGTATGCACATGTCTAAAGGGCAGAGTTTCTTCCAGGTATCTTCCAGGGGGGGGGGGGGGGGGGGGGGCGGCTATGCCCCTCTAAGGAAATTTAATTTATATAGAAAACGCTTTTAAAAGTATCCGCCTCGAAGAAAGAAAAGTGGAAAAAACCGCCTTCGGGCATGCTTTTTTTAGCATGCGACATTACATTCCCAAGTTTCAGAGTTTTGTTAGCTGTATCTCCCACTCAATCGTGTCTTATTACTTCTTTTGTAATAACTACGATAATCAGGGATTAAGGATTAGAGGTTGATGAGATTGCCGTTTCAGTTAAACTAGGCTAAGAAACAGTTTAAGAGGATATTGCTAAATAAGCAAAGAAACTAAACATTTTTTTTACAATATATGCTTTTTATTTAAGTAGATATGCTTATTATAGAGGAGTATATATAAACAGATTATATGAGAGTAAATAATGGAATGTATTGAGTAAAAGTTTGAAATTAAAAATGAATACTACGGAAATTATACAGACTGAAAAAAAAAATGAAAAATGATTTAGAGCTACACATTTTAAACAGGAAAAATTGTCATGTTAAGGTAAAACAGGTACAAGCAAACATTGTAAAAAAAAAATGATACATCTTTTCTTTCCATGGCGATAATCACTAACCCTAATGATGATGACCTACACTAATGAGATGAGTTTCTTGATTAACTGGTACTACTTGATTACATAATGTTACACTAATTAACTATTGGAAGCTGATCCATCTGAAGGCCAAGTTGACAATGCAATAGTTCCCTTCCACAAGGACGCGATCAAATTGCAAGTCGCACAAGCGGAAGGACCTGGTACGAGGTACGGATAGGAAGACTGCGGTTCCCTGCTCCCTGCATCCGTAAGGTCCTAGAGTGCGCCCGAGGGTGGTGCCAAACGTCAGTTTGTGGATTTTGTCGGAGGATCCAATGCTGGCACTGGTCACGTGTTCATGAGGATCCAGTGTAATCTGGAAGTTAAAAATAGCATATCTTCAATGTAGCTTCTTCAAGTCTTAAGTTAACATTTGTATGCAATCTCGATTCGTAAAGATTAGTTAGGTAGGAGGGGGCAGTCGAGGGATAGAGCATATGACTGCTAACTAGGACGCAAGAGTTCGATTCCTGAGTAGAGTAGACTTTGGTGGTTAACTTTAGCTAGTGAAACTAAATGCGACTGGGTGTAGTAATAACACTATCTCTTTACTTTCCGATGGTGAACAGATCAAATACCTAATCTGCCCTAAGCAGTGTGTTTGAAATGGGAACTTAACCTTTATATTAATGTAACGTGTATGAAGTTTGTTATTTATGAACATCTACATGTAACCTAGAAATACATCTTTAAACATACCCTAGTTTCAGCTAAAAGTAACGGGATATAAATGACTAGCAACCATCTATTTAAAAACGTTAAAAATATGAATATGCAGGTTTAAAAAAATTTCTACAAACGCAATGACAAGTTGTGCTAAACACTACATAACTTTACTGTTCACGAAATAAATTATGCTAACAAATATACTAGATAGTATTTGTTAACTAAAGTTTGGAACCTACAAACAAGTTAAAGTTGTTAAATTTAAATGTAAATCGTATGCCACCAGAGTTTCTTCATGCATCTCTTCGCCCCTCCCCCGAACGAAATGGAATGTATATAGAAAATGTATTTAACAGTGCTCCCCCCCCCCCCCCCCCCCGGAGAATCTGGAACAAACACTATATGCCAAAGAACAAAAAACGCGCTCAACTTACATTCAAGAGCCCACTTTGATCCACAATTCCTTTCTCCTCAGCATACTTTATCTCCTTTGTGGTTTGATCTCTGTACAGCACCCCCAGACCTCCAAGCACAAAGCAACTGCCGCTGGGTCTGTCACCATGTACAGAAAAAAATGGATTAGATGTAAAATAGAACAAGAGTTTTAGTATTGGAATTACATAAATCTAACGGACTAATCCTGCAAAATAGATAGTAGCAAGTTTAGTTTACTAACATTGTCAGAAATTAGGTTTTATGATATGCTAAGCGTTGACAGTCATCTTTAATAGGTTAATCATAAATATAACAGCTTTTAAGATTATTTCCGCGGAAAGATTAACATGGGGAAAAGGAACTGTAGAATTTAAAATTAAAGTATTTGATCATAATGTTCAAGGAAGACACGTCTTCAGGATACAAATAATTAGTGATAAATCTAGTAAAAACAAACGTGACGAAAATCTTAAGGGGCGGTTGCTGGGTATTGTGAAATAATCCGGCGTTTTAGTAAAATTTAAAATTTTACGTTCGAGAAATTAAAAATATAGTTCAGATAAGTTAGGAAAATTTAACATTTAAACAAGCCCAGTTAACACTTAATAAATTCAATGTTTCAAAAACTAACGAATTGCACGGTTAACTTTTTACAATGGAGATGTTCGTGTGGGAGGGGAAGTAATCTTCGAGGAAACGTTTAAAAGCTATTTCAATGAAAAAAAAAGCAGTATAAAAAAAAATACCTGAAGCAGAACTTGAATCCACCGATCTCCAAATTCTCCCTGAAACGACCAGTCAGGTTCCTTGGGATAAACGGCCTCTCAGTCAGCGGAGCGTACACACGAATGACGTCATGGACCTCACAAGCCGCCAGACTTCTGTAAGTCCACAAAGCCGGTGGGGCGGTGGCATCCAAAGCCTGCTGCAGTTCCTGGTCAGTCGAGGCTGCGAAAATTCTGGAAACTTCCAGCATGACCTGAATCACTGTGGGGTGGGTCACGAATCCAGGAAACCGTGCAAATATCATAGCCGAGGCGTTCTCCACTCCGATGTCGACAAAACGAACGGTGGTGAGCATTCTATACTGAGTTGAGGGCAAATGGTGTTGGTTGAATGAAAAACTTGCCATGATGGCCTCAAGAATGACTAGTTCCCGATCTCGCGACGGTAGTGGGTAGCCCGAAAATGGATTGAGAACCACCAAATCATCTTCCCTGAGAATGTTCACAACCTCTGCTGGTTTGAGGGTCAGCCAGTCGGAACTTTTTGAAACGTAGAAAAGATTTTCCGTAATGAATTTCTTGGCCTCCATTGCCAAAGCAGGTAGATGTATAAAGGCACTGGCGTTTCTGTAAGTCTCACAGACATTCTGAAGATTGAGGGACTTAATCAAGTATGCCTCACATATTGCCTGAAAATTAGATCATTTTAATTGAAGTATGAGTATACACATTTAAAATAACCATTTTAAAAAATAGTTGAGTTTTCAGAAGGTAGAGCTTAATAGTGCTAACCCAAAAGGTATCGTTCGGATCCGTGTTCAGATTGTATGACGTCCCCGTGTCCACCCAATTCTAAATGGGTAATCGACTCGCGTCAAGGACACGTGGCTGAGGATGTACTAGCCACTCTATCCCTCATAAGCCAAGGTTAATGAAGCAGATGAATGTTTCACCTGCCACATTGGGCATGAACGGGAAATATGGATGTTCCAAATCAATAAACAATTTAAAATAGTAAAATGTAAACGTTAAAGATGTTTTAAGTTAAAATGTATTTATTAAGATCTATCTTAATATTGTATTACCTATTTAAGCATTAGAACCCATCAACATTTTTATCATAACAATTATAAAATAAAATCTTAAAAACGTAACAATAGTCTTAACTCAGAAGTAGGCACTACCAATAAATTAAACACGATATTTCCCACATTAGATTGACCTCTACATAGATTTAAGGCACCACTTACTGTAAGCCTAGGGATGTTTAAGGCACCACTTACTGTAAGCCTAGGGAGGTTAAATTTGATGCTGCCCAGCAGGATCTGCCAGATGTGGGCATTAACTGTGATGTCTCCTGTATAAGCATACTCAGTGATGCCCTCAAACACCCGGATGTTGTACAACCGGTTGCCAGAAATGTACAGTGAGTTGCGCACTACACTGTTCAGCTGGAATACAAAACAAAGTCTAGAACAAATTGTGACATTTATTTCATTAGTTATGCAAATTTTAAATTTATTGGATACACATCGTTCTTAATTATAGTGCAAGAGATTTTTTCAAAAAGAAATGTTACGTGGCATTTTTTATGCGCTATATAGATTGTTGTCTCAGATTTTAGCCTTTTTTTGATACGTTTCAATAGCCTTTTTTAAACAATGTAGTAGTTTTTATGAGTACTAGATAGGTTGCAGTCTAAAAATATCAAGCCTCATTTTCCGGGATTTGAACTCTAGTTTTTGATTTAGCAAAAAAAACAACAATCCAGCAGAGGCGTAGCGAGGGGGGGGGGGAGGACGACATATGTCCCAAAATGGGTTGGAAAAACAAATTTAAAGTTTTACGGGGGGGGTGCAAATCTAAAGTTGGCGCCGGGAAGGGTCGCTACGCTTCTGCTATTCATTCTTAAATTACACTTTACATGAAATGATAAAATAACATACCAAATAGTGTCTCATCAGTTCTGAGACAGATTCCAAGACTTCTCTATGAACATTGACCGCAATGGTTTGAGTCCCTTCACGGAAAATAATCTTCAAATCAGTCCTAAGCTGTGGCCCTGTCAAGTCCTGGAACAAACTCTTGTACCCCTCTCTCCTCTGGAACAAATAGGACACATTTTAAGATAAAATGTACTTTTTCTTCTTAATTTTAGAGGGAAGGGATCGAGCCTTATCTGCCAGAGGGTTTGAACTCGAGACTTTCGAATTTATTAATCATGAGCTTTTTTGCCGACTCTACCACGCCTCCATCACAATTAAGGATACGTGTCAACTGGTTATGCGCCATTGAGGCCATTGACTCCTATTTCAGCCTGCTTTTGGATTTGCGTCCATAGCCTTTGTCCAACCAAGAACAAACAAGGCAGCAGTTGTTTGATTTTTTAGAAGAGTGGCTGTCCACAGCTAACTAGCCTCAACTACCCGAGGGTTCAAACTCGAGACTAATCGGTTTAGCAACCATGAGCTTTACCGACTCAACCACGCCAACCCCCAAAAATGTACTTAAATAGTTTGTGTATTCTTGAATTAAAGCTTAAGCGAATAGTTTTATAGAATAAGATGAATGTCTAAATATAGTATTCGATATTTGCGCTTTGGGAATACATGCCTAAGTAGCAAGCTGAGGAGTGAAATGGCCCATGCATCAGGTTCCATTTCCATCCAGCAGATGGACCCAAGAAGGGAAACTACACAAGTTCATAGCCGTGTTACAGTAGTTATGAGAAGAGTAAGCAGAGTTTATTTTATCAAAGGGAATTAACTCTAGTTTTGTTTAATTTACGAGTTATAGATGGGTTGCTGTTAATGGCGAGCGAGCATCATCTACCCGGGAACTATATACTAAATACTAACATGTACAGTGTATGTCTATAAATGTACATGGGGCAATTATATTCCCTTGTGGCACATTAATAGAATAAGCATAACACGTCCTACTGCATTGGCCTTTAGATTAAGACATTAAGACTTCACTGTAGCATCTAGAACAAGACTAACAAATAACTCACCTCGGTGTTCCTAGGAACTGCTACTACTCTAGGAATCCTGTCAATGCCTCGCACCGCCTCCTTGTATACTAAAGCCCTCTGGTGATGGTTCCCCCTCCAGAAATCCCCCCGTGGATGATTGAATGACGTCACCGTCACAGCCGCTGGGTACAGTTGGCCGTGCCCTGGGGGTAGCGTGCTGCTGTCTGGCACTGGCATGGTGGCCAGCTGTTCCACATGTTCGCTGTGACCGGTGCAGACGGAAGCCATGGAACTGGAAGTATGACGTCACGTTATTTACATACACTATGCGATCAAAGGTAAACATTTAATTCCGGTAGCTTTTTTGGGAGAATGTTTATACCAGTGTCGGATAATAGAATCTTTAAAAAAGGGGGTGTTAGGTTACTGGTAGTTAACTAAATACACACATTTTTGGCTAATGTCAATGCTATCCCTGTCCCTAACCCCAACCCAAAAGCTAGTGCTTCCATACGCCTAACCCTATTTTCTAACCATAAAATTAGTAGAGATACAATACTACTAACAACACAACCCACATATTTTACGGAAGAGTCTATTATCGGTCATCGGTATCTAAAATCATCCGAATTTTATACCAATGTCCGAACAAAGAATTGTAAAATGGGTATTAGGTTACTAGTAGTTAATTACATTTAACTAGGGCTTGCTAATGTTAACTGTCCCTAACCCTAAGCCTAAGACTAACATACGCCAAACTAATTTCTAAACAAAACCAGTCTATATTACAATACTAAAAACCTGTATACTTCTGGGAGAGTATTAACATAAATCCGTATATCCGTATATCAATTATCCCAAATAACATGGTATCTATAAACTACGAGCGATAGGTTACAGGAGCTACACAATAAAATTGTAAACATTTCTAATGTCCATTCCAACCAGATTCCAAACTAAGCCAACACATCTAATAATAATACTAGCCGTACATTTAAACCTATCGCAATATAACTGACAATCTAACATCTAGTTCTGCAGTAGTATAGTTGCAACAAGTAATACAATGCTGCATATTTATTACGCTTTAGGGAACAAGACAATTAACATAATCTCATTGATAAAAACCCGAATAATTAGACAATTCAGACTTCTGAAAACAAAGGCTTTTCACACAAACAAGCTAGAAATAAAGCTTAACTGATGATAAAACTGCAATTTAAAAAATCAAGACCGTTAATAAACTTCAGCATTTTAAAGGCCGTTTCATACATCTTAAAACTAGACCCTAACATGCAGTTATAATCTAGCTACAGCAACTTTAAAACTAATTTCGCACGCGATAAAACTACAACATAATAAGCTAGTTTGTCATCCACGAAAACAAAACAACAGTGTACTTACAGCGTATCTTTAAGTTGAGGGGAGGTTAGGCGACGGCCGACAGTCCTTAAATAGCCCCAAAGTCACATGTCCTGAGCTCCAGAGAAATCGTGAACATGTCTTTGTTGTGAGTTGAGTTCATGAGTGGCTGTCTTGTCGTACACAAATTGTTAACGCTGGCATTCCCTCCCCTGCACTCTATATTCATTTTATTTTTTTTTTCTCCTAAATGTCAGCGTTTTGTTATTTAAAAATCAACTCAGTTGTGATACACGCGATTCTTGTATCATTAGCAATGCAAATGTAGCAATAATAAGGAAGCAATGATAATATAGAATGATAAGGTAGCAATCGTAATGTAGCAAAGATATTGCAGCAATACTATTGCAGTAATGATATTGCAGCAATGATAATGTGCAATGATACTGTAGCAATGGCATAGTAGCAATTATAAGGTAGCAATAATTAGGTAGCAATGATAATGTAGCAATGATAATGGAACAATGATATTTGATACTTCTATTAAATGTCATAACCCGTTGACATTTCCAGTGTAAAGTTAATAAGTTACAATGAGTACAAGGTTGCAGATGATTGTATGGTACAGTGGTAAGTGTTTGGCCTCATGTGTTGGCGGTGTGGGATCGAAACTCAAGTGAGTTAATACTACGTTAACTTTTTTCATCGTGTTTATGAAATCAAGCTTTGTAAAGCACAAATGTGAAACATTATTATTTTTTTCTATTTTATCGCTCATGTTTTCGTTCGCATAGACTACATATTTATAAAACTTTAAGGAAAGTATTTCCTTAAAACGAAAATGATGCAGTCATCTTCTTTCGATGAAAGTATTATACCTGACTGTAGCGAAAATCTGGAATTTACTTTGACTTTGTCACGCTGGGGTGAGTACTAGATGCACTTCATGCCTGTATAGAGTCGGGGGTTTATTAGGTTTAGGTAGACTCTTGGACATATTACTGACTAATGCCGAGTACCCGTTAGAGCTGGGTGGCTGGGTGGGCTCATAGACATTCTACTGACTTAAGTCACGCGACATTCAGAGCTGGATGGACCCAGCTTTATCCTACTGACTAGTGCTGGGTACCCGCCAATGCTGGATGGACTCTTGGGCATCCTACTGAATTGTGTCAGGTGCCACTAAATCAGCAGCTTAGTGAGACAACAATATACGACCACCATACATCCACAAAGAAGACCACTAAATTAGCACAAGTTAATCTCAAAAATAAGACCACCGTACATCACCAGAGAAGATCACTTTAAGAGACCACCTAAGTCCACTTTACAATGCAGTGAATTAGATGATCATAGACTATTACAACAGACCAGTAGACAAGACCAGTGGAGACCACCATAGACAAATAATATAGACGACCACTAGAAATATAAGACCACTATAGCAGACAGCAAAGAAGACCATCATATTATTATACAACCAAAGATCACCATATACGACCACCATTTAACACGATCGCTTATCCCATAGAGGACCACAAAAAGACCACCGTAGAAGAAATGACCGCCGTTAAACCAACATAACACCACACCATTGCTATCGTAGTATACCACATCATAAACTATTTTAAACTCTCAACATATAAGCTCGTATTAGAAGCCTATAATACATTGATGTAGTAGTATACCACATAATACCACAATAGCAGACCACCATAGTAGACCACCGTAGAAGACCACCTATACGAACAGGTTATCCCCCCCTCCGTCTTTCCCTAACACCTCCAAATAACGGATTATCGGATAATCCCTCCAATCTCGCACACACGATTTTTTTCACAGTCGATCGGCGTTCATCCATTGTTTACAAAGCTCCCACGTCGAGCGCCTGTCGATAAAATTGTCCTATTAAAAATGGCTTTACGCCTGATTTAACAGATGTGCATAGCTGGCATGTAAGCTGGCTTTTATTTTTTTTTCTCAGTTCAAATTTTGCGTCAATTCGTAATTTTAAAAACCAACGGTAAAAAAAAAAAAAACTATTGGTCAATGGCATTACGATTTGTCTTGAGTACATTCCAAGATTGAATTTAATATTGTTGGTTACCGAAGATGTGATTTTATCAGAATTGTGACTGGAACGTGTCATTTTTTTAATCGGTTACACTTATACACATTTTTTTGGCTTTTGTGCTTTCGTTCAATTTATTTAAACAATTTTTTTTTTAAATTTCCACGGATATGTGAGTATAAAAAAATGATGTTTTCTTTTTTTTTCCAACTTTAAATATTGTATTTGAGCTACGCTGAGTTACGTTGATACGTATAGCACAGATATTTGGGTTGGGGTCGGGGGTGGGGGTCGAGCCGTCGGCCCTCGCGACATCATAGAATGATTTCCTACTTGACATACAACTAATAAAATCATGTGCCTTATCGTCGACATGAAATGTTTTTTAGTTATTGTTTTTTTTTAATAATTATGTAGAATATGTTTATGCTAATATTCATCAGAATAACATATTTTAGGAGTAATTCTTGAATTTTAAAAAGTTCTAGATATGTAAAATACGCTACATATGAACAAGTTAACCGAATAAAATTTATTTACTTGCTAGCTTAGGAAAATCAATATGTAATTATTTGATCAAAATGGCCTGCTCAAAAAGGAATCTGATGTATTTAATAAGTGTAGCAAAGCCGATTAGATCATATGTAGAAAATTAAGTAATGTAAAATATTTTGTAATTTCTTAAATGAAGCAGTTTTCTTAATTTAGAGTATTTATAGAAAGAAAATTGTAACAATTTAGCTTTCTTTTATCAAGATATCTTTTATAAAGATTTGACGAGAATCCTTCCATCTTTATTTTTGACTCAGCCGCCGTAAAAAGAGTAGGCCCTATTTAGAAAAAAAACTTAAAAGTTAAAAAAAAAATGCAAAATCCTGAGAAATGAAAATATTTTTTTTTTGAGTTTAAGGCTTTTAGGCTACATTTCTATTTATTTACATCGATTCTAAGTTATAACCAGCAGTTTCACTTTCGTAAGACAAACATTTATTGACTTTAGATGGACTCCGTTATCGATAATCTTTATTTTTTAGCGCAATTTCCATACTGGCAATTGCGTTTAATAATGCGTCATTTCTGGATGGATGGATGGATGGATGTATGGATGTGTGGATGTGTGTCCGCAGCTTTAAGTCGTATCTCCTCCTCAACGAAGCAATATCGAGGACTAGTTCCAAAAGCAAATATGTTAAGCAAGTTCCAAGGATGATTGTGGGCCAAAAAAATTCCCGGAATTCCTTCCTGGATTTCCCGGAAAAGCCAAAACACCTCGAACAAATGCAGTTTTTGCTCCATATCTCGGCAACCAGACCACTTAGCGACTTGAAACATTTACCAATCGATTCCTGTCATAATTTAGAACAATATTGCCGAAGAAAGTTTTCAAAAATATCCTTTCGTTCGGTCACAAAAAATTAATTAAGAACATTTAAACTGAGCATCGTGTAGGCCTAGGATGATTTAAACTGAGCATCGTGCAGGAGTTTATTTTTATAGGATGATATTTACAAAAAATTAAAAATTGTTATGGATAACATAAGGAAATTGCGCTTAAATTGTCACTAGACTTTTTATTAACTTGTTTAGGAAGAAACTGGGACAAATCCATCAATATAAAGCAATAAGTAAACGAGGGTTGACCGAGTTAAGCGTCTTTGTTGCTTTGTTGACATTGTTAACTTGTTGTTTAATGTAGGACCGAGGTTCTGGCTTTTGTGAACTGGCATGATGTAGGACTTTTGTCCTGAGGTATTCTATTGGTGTAGGACTTTTGTCCTGAGGTTTTCTATTGGTGTAGGACTTTTGTCCTGAGGTATTCTTTTGGTGTAGGACTTTTGTCCTGAGGTTTTCTATTGGTGTAGGACTTTTGTCCTGAGGTATTCTATTGGTGTAGAACTTTTGTCCTGATGTTTTCTATTGGTGTAGGACTTTTGTCCTGAGGTTTACTATTGGTGTAGACTTTTGTCCGGAGGAGTTGTATTGGTGTAGACTTTTGTCCTGAGGTATTATATTGGTGTAGAACTTTTGTCCTGAGGTATTATATTGGTGTAGAACTTTTGTCCTGCTGTTTTCTATTGGTGTAGGACTTTTGTCCTGAGGTTTACTATTGGTGTAGGACTTTTGTCCTGAGGTTTACTATTGGTGTAGACTTTTGTCCTGAGGTTTTATATTGTTGTAGGACTTTTGTCCTGATATTTGTTATTGGTGTAGGTATTTTGTCCTGAGGTTTACTATTGGTGTAGACTTTTGTCCTGAGGTATTCTATTGGTGTAGAACTTTTGTCCTGAGGTTTTCTATTGGTGCAGACTTTTGTCCTGAGATATTACACTTGAGTAGAACTCTTCTTCTATTATGAAAGAGGAAACACTGCTTTCATTTTCCGAAGTGATCCCGTCAGTAGTGTTAAAAAATGATAGGTCTGCTAGACTCCTAATAATGATGTAATTTCAAGTTTTAAGTTAGGGCAAGAAATCAGAGTTGGAGCTAGTGTATGGCTTAAGATAGGGCTATACTTAGCGATGACATTAACAGTTTGGTTAGGGTTTAATTTTAAATACTCCTTTTAAGAGATTTAACTAATCTGACACAATAGTTAAGAGCAATACTCCTGTCTCATTTATTTTGAGGCCTTCCAATAACAAGGAGCAAAATGACTACTGATTGATTTTGACTTACTTGACTTAATCCTCTTTACTCATTTTGGAGCAAAGGGCCTCAACCATAATCTTCCTGGCTCTTGATTTCGCAATCTCTTAAGAAATCCCTGCGTCTTCAGTCCGTCATGAAGATTCGCCCTAATTGGGTTTCAGGCTTACTTACAGGGAAAAGCAGTAGTTTGCAAGGTATTAATTTACGGTGACGTTGGTAGTCTATACTACTATTTTGGGGTAGGATATTCTAATAGAATTTTATAATATTTAAGGATTTTCATCATTATCATCATCATCATCATCATCATCATCATCATCATCATCATCATCATCACCATCATCATCATCATCATCATCATCATCATCATCATCTTATCACGTTTGTGTCCTAGATATATGGTGTAG